GTGAATTCGAGGCCAGCCTGGTCTCCAGAGCAAGTGCCAGGATAGGCTCCAAAGGTACACAGAGAAACCCTGTCTCGAAAAACCAAAAAAAAAAAAAAAAGACAAACATGGTATGTATTCACTCATATATGAATTTTAGACATAGAGCAAAGGATTACCAGCCTACAATCCTCTTCACCAAATAATCTAGGAAACAAGAAGGACTCTAAGGGAAAAATGCATGGACCACAGGAATAGGAAGAGGCAGGAACTCCTGAGCAAATTGGGAGCATGAGGGTAGGGGAAAGGGAGCTGCCAGAATGAGAGGAGGAAAAGAGGAGAGGAGAGGAGGAAATGGAAGAGCAGAAATACTGAGTTGGGGGAAGAATAGAGGAGAGCAGGATGAGAGATACCATATTAGAGGGAGCCATTATAGGTCCAAGGAGAGATCTGGCACTAGGGAGATTTCCAGAGACCTACAAGGATGACACGAACTGACAATCTAGGCAATGGTGAAGAAGATAACCTAAATGCCCTTTCCCTATAATGAGACTGATGACTACTTTTTAATGCCATCCTAGAGCCCTCATCCAGTGGCTGATGGAAGCAGAGGCAGACACCAAAGATATACACTGAACTGAACTCTGGAACTTAGTTGCAGAGAGGGAGGAATGAAGATCAAAGGAGTCGGTACCAGGGTGGTAAAACCCACAAAAAACAGCTGGCCTGAACAAGGGGGAGCCCATGGACCCCAGACTGCTGTCTCGGAGGCCAATACAGGACTGATCCAGACCACTGAACATGGATATCAATTAGGAGGCCTCTGCATTGTATGGGGCCCCTGGTAGTGGATCAGTATTTTTTTCTGGTGTAAGAAGGGACTTTGAGAGCCCATCCCACATAAAGGGATGCACGCTAGGCTTGGACACATGGGGGAGGGCCTAGACCGGTCCAGAATGATGTTGTGGACTTTGGGGAGCCCTCATAGAGTGCCCTAAGCCCTACCCTGCCTGGGGATTGGAGGGTGGATGAGATGGGGGTTAAGATGGGGGGGGAGGGATTAACATGTGAAACAAGCTTGTTCCTAATTTGAATTAATAAATAAAAAATACAAAAAATTTAAACTATTACTAAGATATTAAGGAGATGTTCTTAAAATAGGAAGATGACATTATAAACTAAAAAGAACCTAAAGGGAAAGCACAAGCCATAAACTGGAAGAAAATACACAAAAGACAACACACAACTCATGAATAAAGACAACTTCACAATTTTTTACCAAAAGCAAATGGTAAAAAACCCAAAAGCATATCATTTTAACACAAGAGAACACAGCTGAGGATGTAGCTCAATGGTAGAGCATTTGCCTAAGTAGGGTGAGGACTTGGGTTTGATTCCCTCAAACAAACAAACAAACAAAACCCACATAGGATGTTGTTTTGATCTCATTAGCAAAATCCTTGAAAACTATTTAAGTGATAAGCTGGCTTATTACTGCTGCATTCAAAAGCTGTGTGTTGTCACACAGCAATCAGGATGAGTCTTAGTAAAACATTGTTAAGGGAAAAACTGTCAAAGGTACACACAATGTGTCATTCTTTAACAATGAAGCTTAAACAAAACAAATATACTTTTTAGGAATAGCTAAATGAAACTGTTTATTAAGAGAAAAGCAAAACAACAATCAATATAAAAATGATGGTTTCTTCATTTGGGAGGGAGGAGAATCAAGGACCACATGCAACCCGACTGTGTCCAGAGGTTACTCTTATGGGTGCTTCTTAGAGGGTACTTATTACTAAAAAGGACTAATTAAAATAGTTGTACCTGAACCAATGATCATGTCACACATCAATGAATTCTGGATGGTTATATTTTTTTAAACATGAAGTAGACTAAAGATGACTTAGGATCTTTAAAAAAATTTAGAAAAATTGCAGAATTATGAAGTTTTCTCAGGAACCATTTAAACAAAACTTAGAAAAACTTGTACAATAATAAATATAAGCATTACATTTATTTTATCTGCCAGATTAATAATTATATTTATTTATTTAAGTGCAGGTTAATTATTTTTTATACACAAACAAGGTAAGCCTAGGTGTATAAACCACTCCAGGGCAGGTCTCAAATGTTCAGGAGTAGCTGATCAACAAATAATAGACTACACAGCTTTTATGTACTTCTTTCTTTCTTTCTTTCTTTTTGGGTGCTGTTGTATTTTGTTTCCTAACTTTTGTTGTAGTCTTGGATTTTTGGGTTGTTTTTTGAGAAAGAACTTAAAATTGGGTGAGTACGGAGGAGAGGAATCTAGAAGAACTTGGGGGAGGGGAAGAATATGATCAAAACATACTTAAATTTAAAAATTATTTTTAATAATAAAAAAGAAAATACAGAGAAGAAAATTATTCAAGCCCAACAGTGTAGAGATACACATTATAAATGTATGTGTGATACAGGAATAACAATGGCATGTTTGTATATGGGTGCACACTTCCATAACTGCTTCCTGTCTGCCTATCTTTGGGTTCTAGAAGATTAACAATGCAGACCCTGCTAGCTCTTGGCTACAGCCTACTCATCTAGCATTTCTATGACAACAATCATTTACAGCTTTCAGGAGAGTTTGAGATACCTCTCTGCTTTCACAGCCCCTGGGAGCTCTCCAGACAGGACACCCTGGCACTATTCTTTAGAATATTACAGTGTGTATATTTTGAGTTATTAATTATTCTTCACAATGGAAAAAAAGAAAAAGTCATCTGAATGAGGTAACCAGACTTGAATACATCAAAGGAAACTATGGTTTGTGTTCACTTAGATGTGGATGTTAGCTGCCACACTTTCTATAAGCAGACTACAACCCATATAGCCACAGTGTTGAGTACAGACTAAGGGCCTGGGTGAAGAACAGGATCAACCTACAAAGGGGAAAGACAGTAGGTAGTTATGGATGAGTAGAAGATACAGGAGGCTGAAATGGAAGGATCAAATGGGGAGGGGGACAGAAGAGGGAGATAAGGCAGGGAAAAAGGAAAGAACAAAAAAGGAAATTTTACATAACATTAAATATAAACATTATTTTAAATGTCATAGATTGATAATTACATAATTTTTACTTATTTAAATACGGGTAATTATTTTTATTTACACAAGGTAAGCCTTTTAGAAAACAGAAGCATAAAAGATAACTTCTTTAGGAACATTTCAGAATATTTCCATTCTTCAGTGTTTGTCTTAAAGGGGAGTCTTAAAACATAAAATATTCTTCCTATGATACCATGTATTATTCGATCATAACATTGTTATGTTTCTTTCCCTAATTCCAATTAACTTTAAAAACTTACTACTGCAACACCTAGAATATATTATGTTATTATCACATAATTCTGTTTTCCAGTATTGCTAGTAAATGTGATGGAAACAAATTTGGAAACAAATTTCCTGTGGTTAGTACTATTTCCTTAGGCTAGATTCCAGAAGTCAAGTTATTAATCAGAAGGACTAATACCATCTCAGTGACATCTCACAGTAAGTACACATTGTGCATACCCAGGACGGTCCTCGGGACTCCAAGTTAACTCATTAACCTTCACAGTGACTCTGAAGTTATAATAATGCCTCATCTTACAGACATGGATTCCGAGACAAACACGTCTCAAATACATAATTTGTCCATGATCACACAGCTTAAATTCCCACAGTAAGACTCCAGGGTCTATGTTCCACTCCATTTGTAGAGGTAGAACATACACACAGAGGGAGAGAGAGGGGAGACTGTGATAACATTACTAAATATATCCACTAAACTGTCAAGGAAGATGAAATATTCCGATCCCTCAGTCCTCAAAGAAATCGATTCCCGTGTCTCATTTCTCCCTGTGCCTGCTAACCCTGTATGACCAGTGTATGAAACAATGCACCCCGTTATTTCACAAAGGAAAATGCTGTATTTACCAACCATCCTGAGGATGTGAAGGTCTGGGTTTTAAAGCCCAGACTGCATACCTTTGCGCACCCAGTCTCCAGTGTGAATATTGATAGTCACGCCTACTAAATTGCTACTTCGTTGTCTTTTTTCCCAGAGAAAATCAAGAGCTTTTCTTGCATATTCCTATAATTAAAAAACAAAAGCATACTTGAAGAACTTTGCCTCTGTCAAAGAGGGGGAAATCTATAAATCAAAGATTCATAGAGTCCTTTAAGATTCTAAATTCTAAAATTCTCAAGATAAGCACTTATAAATTTCCTTAAAATCTTGCCTTGGCTCTTTTTCAGCCACTTCATATTAAGAAACTTCACTTGGAGAATTTCCATGGCATTTACCCTTGCAGCACGGCTCACATCCATACATGGATTATTATATTAACTGACATAATTAAATGTACTTGTTATAATTATTATTACCAACTAAGTGCAAAGTGGAAATCTCCTAAGGTATTCTTACTTAACAAATTTGAAGAGAACTCAGAGCTGATATGTTATCTTTCAAAGTCATTTCAGATTATTTTAAGTGACACATAATTTTATTAGTGAAAAATTAGCAAATCAACTAGGCTACTGATGACTTAATCTGTATATTAATGTACATATACATATAAACACACATATGTATATATAAAATTATAATCTTATGACCACTTCTTTCATTTATTTTTACCCACTGGATATTAAATTGAAATTATTATAAAATTTTTGGCTTTGGATAAAAAGATGTTATAAATAGAATAGCAAATGATATCTACTGGTAAAATTCTAAATTAATTTTAGGGCATGAACTTTCCAAGTATTACAAGCAGAAAAATCATTAAACCTAATTTGTTATTTTGTAGATTTGGCAATAGAGTGCAAAATCATTTACATTCTTGATGCAAATGATGCATGATGATTATATTTTAACAAAATAGACCATAACTATAACTAAATGGTGAATTTTCAAATCTGGAAAGCATGATACTCTTTATATTGCCCTATTTCCATTTTATGCTTTTTAAAAAGGATCAGTAAAATTATAGATTTAACCAAAGCTTGAAATGAATTATAGAACCCTAGTACAAGAACTTTGATTTCTTGTATATTGGTCTCCGTGTACCAGGGTCAGCAAAGTTTTTCTGACAAGGGACAGACAGAAAATAGTTGAGGCATTGTGGGTCATACTGTCACTGGTTGGTCACAATTTCTCCTATAGTGAAGAGATACAGAAATAAGTGAGTGAGCATAGCTGTGGTTTCATATCATCTTTAAAAGAAAGCAGACTACAGCTCAAAACCCTGCAATAGTGATGCTCTGTCAAAGGCATTCTAGAAGCTTTTTCAAATCATGGGTTTTTTTTCCCAACAGATTTATAGAAAAACAATAGGCAATGGAAAGACTACAGACACAGACTCTAAATCCAGCTCCAATTGTTGACCCACAATTGGACTGCAGACTTAGCTCACTGAGGTGCATTTTTGCCTATAAATGCATCAATATTTCAGAACATTAACAATTTAATATTTAATTAAATTTAATATATTAAAACATTTAATATTTAATTAATATATATTAAAACATATGTATAAGTACCTATACTGTTTAATGAAGGGAAACTACTAGACAATAAGGTATATTTTAAAATTTAAGTTTAAAATATTAATCAATCACAGTTGTCCTTAAGGCATATGAATGTATAGGCATCCATTTGCACCCAGACAAGCAAAGCACAAGATCTTCTTGCTGACTTTGTTTACATCCTTAGCCAGTATCTGTGATGAATGGTGCTATGTGTTCCCTACTTCTGCTCTGTCCATGTGACCCTCTTATTACTTAAAAAAACAAAATCACCTAAGTCATATGCCTAAGAAAGTGGGCACTTAAGTAACTTTTGCATTCCAATGATAATTATATTACAGTAAATAGTTATATTAGATTTTTTTAAATATAAGACAGAGCTAGACTCCAATAAAATATCCGGGTGATACAGGTTTTTTGAATAAGGCGTAACTTTTCCCTTGGAGTAAACAAATTTATACATTAGACTCTTGATCAAGGCTTATACACAAAAATTTCACCATGAGTTTAAATTATTTGTGAAGGCTTCAAAACTACAACCAACCATTTGGAAGTCTAACAGATAAAACACAGATACACGGACATCTGTGCTACCTAGGATTCATCAAATTTGCAAAATGTATTTAAACAATCTTCTAAGAAGAAAGCTAAAATTTTATTTTATGGTCTGTGAACAAAAAGTGAACTTATGTTTAATACAGCTGCTTCACAATGACTTCCATGCCTGTAACACTAAAATTTGATTAAAAGTACATTAAAATAACAGTAATCCTACGATGGTGAATCCTAATCCTTAGCCAAAGGAAACAAACATAAAGTTAGCTCTTCCTAAACCCTAGATGAAGCCATGAAAGCAAACCTCAAATATTGTCGCTCCTGTGAACCGACTCAATGCAGCAAACTCAAGGATCAAGGTCCCCGCACAGGCTGTACAGGTGTCTGTCTCACTTCCCGTCCGGGCTTCTGGCTTTCTGATGCCAAATTTTAAATTAATCTACACACAATGAGAATGTTAGCATGAGTAACTACCAAGAGACAAATCATCAATCACTGTCAAACAAGACTATCAGATTGTAAAAATAATTCTTGAAGTGAATGAACACTGAACTCAATCTGAGGCTCTCTGTAGCTTTCCAATGAACATCTAGGAAAATAAATTCTGAGCATACAGAATTTATGGGGTAAATAAGTTCTCATTTATTTTCCTTCTTGATGATATAATAATGTAGTATCATTATAATAGTTAAAAGGGTAGCCTAGCCTTAAAGAAATTAAGTTTGAGAACTTATGAAACCAGTACAATGTTAACTGATTGTAATGGTATATATTTAGAAGAGATTAAAATTTTGTTTATAGGTTTTTATAAATTAATTTATTCTTTGACCATTTCATACATGTATGTAATACATTTTGACCACACTCATTACTTCACCCAGATTCTCCTTCCCCCATGAAGTCCTCTTCCCACTATCATTCTTTTATTACATCCATTATTATTGTCTGTGGAGGCACATGCATGCCACAACATACATGTGGCAGTCACAAGACAACTTGGGGGAGTCAGATCTCTACTTCCACCAAGTGGACCCTGGGGATCAAACTCAGGTTGTCAGGCTTAATGAATGACAGGAGCCTTTATGAGCACCGCATCATCTCACCAGTCGCGATCATGTCTTTTCATTTTTGTTCTGTGACTCACTGAGTTTAACTAGGGCTGCCCACATGAGTACGGAACTATCCAGTGGAGCACAGGGAACTCCCCTGTGGCTACATTACTGGGGACATTGACTCCCCACCTCCAGTCCCCTGATCAACATTTATTATCTACTATATAGTAGATATTATAATAAGATACAAAGAAATAGCTCTTTGCCTTCAAAGAGCTTAAAGGCCAAACAGAATAAATAGAATAGGTATGAAAATAGAGAATTAATAATAATGGAAAGTCACAAATAAGTGCAAATAAACTCAAGGAACTGATTTTAAAAAAATAATAATGCTAAAACCAAGGAGATAAAACATCCCTGGGTTGGGTGTAACTGACAATTAAGAAAGATGGCTCATCAGATCATGGGTCCTAAAGGAGAACCTATTGCTGCCACTCTCCTAGACTGGTATAACTCCCAACTGCATTCTAAGTGTTATCCTTATCCCACAGACAAGCAGCTCTCACTCACATCACGGAAGCTCCTTCTGCAGTTGATGGGGACCATTACAGCAACCACAACTGGTCAAAATGGACTGTGCGGTGCCCAGCCCCAGCTGATAAACCTACAACACAACCCCTACAGTGAAGGTTCAGGGAACATCACCAAAGAGGGGCTGCAAAGACTGGAAGAACCAGAAGATGAGGAAGTCTGCCGTGAGACACTGTCTTCTATACATGTATGACAGAGAAGGCACACCCCTGAAATCTCAAAAATACAGCTGCCTAAACAAGACCCACACATCTGCTGACATTCCCACATAGACGTGAAAAGTCTCACAAGGCCATACCCTTAGATGAAGAACTATAGAAAATCAACAGCGGCTGAGGGAGGTTATTCAATCCTAAGTGGTCAGCCCTAATCAAATGCATGTATGAACAACACTAAATGGACTCAACAGGCTCGCTCTCTCTATGTAAGAATAATTTAAGAGGCCATGAATTACTAGAGGAGCTGCAGAGGGAGAGGTAGAAATGATGTAAAAGCAGTACTTAGGTATGAAATTCTCAAAAAAAATTAAGAAAAAGATTAGCTGGGCATTGGTCCTTTAGTTCCAGCATTCTGGAAGCAGAGGCAGGTGAATCTCTGTGAGTTCAAGGCCAACCTGGTCTACAGAGCTAGTTCTAGAACAGCCAGAGCTACACAGAGAAACCCTGTCTCAGGAAGAAAAAAAAAGATAATTAAATCCAAGTCAAATATTATAGTCAAACAATAATATTTAGCTGAAAATTGGCTTTAAAGATTTAATTAACTTTGAATAAATGGTATTACAAAGTATGGATTAGGTTTATACATGAGTTTTTAATATGACCATCACAGCCACTGCACTCATGAACTCACAGCAGCTATAGTCACCTATACAAGACTGGGCCTGTCAACATTTCATCATGGGAATGTTGACAGGTCCACACTCCAGTAAACAACCTCCTACCCACACTCATAGAAGCAACCCTAATTAAACCTGGTGGGTCACACACACGAACACGCACGCACGCATGCTCACACAATTTCACTTGTTGAGAAAAAGAAATATTTCAGCAGAAGAGATGGGGGAAGAGAGAAGGAAACTGGGATGAAAATGACAAAATTTCATTTTATACATGTATGAAATTGTCAAAGAAAATTTAAAGACCATTACAGGCTGGGATGGAGCTGGGGTACAGTACTTGTCTAGCGTACAGGAGGTCCCACAGAAAGAAAAGGGGGTAAAGACCAATAAGTTGTACAATAGCACTTCTATGTAGCAAATTCTTCTGGCTTAGAGCTACTAATGCAGACTCTATCGAGTATGTATGATATCCCAGAGAAACTGATGACACCTTTCCATAAGCAAAAGTAACTGACTAACAAGTATGTGTGAGGAAAGAAGAAAAGGTGGTCCTCTTCTAAAATAATCATTTCACACTCTTTGACACTGCAAAGAATAAGAAAATAACAAGTTTCTTTGTTTACACTAATATTTATAGTACCTTCTGTTTCAATTTAATGCCTGCCTTTCATGTTACAGCAAACAAGATGCAAGAGGGGCTAGGGAGAAAGCTCTCGTGGTAAGGTGCTTACAGAACAAGCATGAGGGCTTGAGTTCAGTCCTGTTTGTTACTCATGTAAAAAGGCCCAGCTTGGCAGTGTGCACCTGTGACCCCAGTGCTAGCAAGGCAGAAACAGGGTTTCTAGGGCTGACAAGCCAGCTGGTTTAGCTGAATCAAGAGCTTCTGTGTGGGCCACTGTCAATGTCCACCTCTGTCATGCACACATGTGCACAACACACAGACAGACACAAACATGTAATTGCATACATACAAGGAGAAAAAATGCTAGACTCCTCAAAGTGCTGAAGAGATGGAACACTGGCTATTCTTGAAGAGGACCCAGGTTCAGTTCCCAGCACCCACATGGTGGCTCTCGGCTGTCTGAAATCTCAGTTTCAGGGGATCTGATGCCCTCTTCTGGGCTCTGTGAGCCCCAGGCAGGCATGTAGTACACATATAACATACAGGAAAACACCCATACATTTAATTATTTTAAGTTAAAAAAAACAAATGAAAATAAAACAAAAACTAAACATATTTATTAAAAATAAATTCAATGCATACATATTGCTTAAATAGTTCTGCATCTAACTTTAGTAAACTAAAGGGAAATGACCAGTCAACAATATAATTACACTAGTAAACAAAGAAATCCTCATTTAAAATGACTGCAATTTCCCCCTCACAATATTAAGAATGGTACTGTGCAGTGTTGGTGTCACACATTCTGAGACATTGAGGAGTACAGAAGTATCTTTTGATGGCATTTTGGCAATAAATACTCAAAGTCTTAAAAAGTATTCCATACTTCTTTCTTCTAGGAATTCATTCAAAGAGAAAAAATAAAAAATGTATAAAAAGTATATAAGATTGTCTGTTCACAAGAGAGCTATTTAAAATAAACCCGGGGCCCAGGAGAGAGCAGTCAGTGCTGCAGCATAAGCATAAGGACCTTATTTGGGGGTGGCCGCATACTCCTGAAACCCCTGTAGTGGTGGGACCCAAACAGGAGATTCCTGAAGTTCATGCTAGCCTAGAAAAACTAACGAGCTCCAGGATCAGTGAGACCCTGTCTCCAAAAAAAAAAAAAGACTGAACAAAGATAGCTGACATCTACCTCAGGTCTCTACGCCTATACCACCCCACCACACACACATACACACACATACAAACCCATATGCATATATATGAGCACATGCTCATACTACATACGTACATACAATGTGCACATACAGAAGTAAAAAGGGAAAAATACCCAAGCTAGAAATTAAGTAATAAGGGGTTTAATTGTAGACTGTCATTAAAAAAAAACAAAAGTACCAGTCATGATACACTAAAATGGTAGAGAAATCAATGGATATGATCTTTGATTTGGAAAGTACCTACCTGTGTCATGCTGCTGAACTTACCCAGTCAACAATGACTTCCTAACTACAGAAAATAAGTCTAGCTTGACTTAAATGCTCAGAGAAGTTATGCCAGGCAGTAGAGATGGTAGGCTTAAAAGAATGCAATAAAAAAGTCCCTAGGGGTTGGGAGAACATTATCTACTGCTGTGCATAGAAAAGTAGTTTCACTGGGGTCTAGGAGAGCAGTTGAATGAGAACAGCCCCACAGGCTCACATTTGAATACTTGGCCCTCAGTTGGAGGCACTATCTGGGAAGGATTAGGAGAGTGGCCTTGTTGGAGAAGGCATGTCACAGGGCTGAGCTATGAAGAGTCAAAAGCCTCCTGCCTGCCATCCCAGTGTGCTCTCTGCTGCCTGCCTACAGTTTTGGGACTGAGCTCTCAGCTGTTCCTGCTGTCATGCCCTCACTCAGACATCATGGACTCTAACGCTTTGAAGCCATAAGCCTAACTAAACCCTTTCTTTTATGTGACCTTGGCCATGGTGTTCTGTTACAGCAATAGAAAAGTAACTGAGGACTATCAGGGAACACTAGACAGTCCTCTGCTAAGCTCTAAAGATTTCTCAATGTTAAGGGACAGTGGAACAGTGAGAATGCAACAGTTTTGAAAGCAATTCAATAAAAATATGTTTAAGTAATACTATTTTCCCAAGTGCTCTGAATAATATGCCTGAGGAAAGAATACCCACATTAAGATATAGCAGCTTATGAATGAAATTAGATTAGCTTTAATAGCACAGTAGCAAAATGAAAAGGAAAGTGACAGACCTTGTGTCTGACTTAGACAAATGGAACAGAAGTGGTGTTAATACTGAATGAGGTTGGTCAAGAGAAAGCTCACTCCATCCTTAGTGGCTTCCTTCCCCTCTGCTTTAAAGATAAAATTTTCTGGGAAGACAGAATTATCGTATAGCTCTTTTGACCAACTCTACTGCCAGGTCTCCTTAGAGCAAAGAAGGAGCCCCAGAGCAAGTGACCCACACAGCAGCCTCCTCCTTAGTCTGCCCCACTACAGGTTGTGAAGGTCACACTAAGACACAGTGCTCCTTCTAGAGCTTTTAGGATTTATCACACTGCCCACTGCATGGCGCCTGCTCCTGGATGACTGAATGCTTTCCTCCTCACCAGCCCCCCTTCCGCCTCACCCTCTCCTGGGAGAGTAACACCTTCCCACTCTCACAGCACTTCAGCACCAGCAACTCTGGCCCACACTGCAGTCTGTCTCCTCCTCCTGCAGCATCGTCTAGACTGACACACTAAAGCTGAGGAAAGCTTATGCTAATCTAATGTTCACGTCACTCAAATCTGAGTTAGCCAACACATCAGTATAACTTTGCTGTCAGCTTTGAGGCATCTTTTTCCAGGCTCATTTGGGAGAGGAACACCTCTGATCACAAGCATTCTGCCTGTAAACAACAAAGAAGTGTCAACAGAGTCTCACTTGTTCACAGTGACTTACTCGGGGATAAGGGAGGCCACTGGTAGTGTTGAAAGCGGGTAAGAGTTTGTAGCCCAGCTGCTTTGCCATTTGGAGAAGTTCATCATTATACCACTGCATGAATTCGCCTTTTTCTTTCAGCATGATCGCCAGTGAGTGTCCACCTAAAAGACCCCTAGGATCACAGAGACAAAACATTACCTGCAATTTAATTAAACATTTATTTACAAGTTATACATAAAAGGGTGTGAGCACTTGTCCCCTACAATTTGTAAACATAATGAAAGGCTACAGAATAAGTCAATTTTTTTTTACTGGCTACTTATTTTATGACAAACTCACAAACTTATTTTATACTCACATAGCCAACATATTAAGAACAACAACATAACAAACAAACATTAGGGGTTGGAAAGAAGGCTCAGTGGGTAAAGGTGCTTTCTACCAAAGCTGCAGATCGGAGTTCAAACTCCAAAACACACTTAGGAGAAGCAGAGAACTGACTCTTTCCTACAAGATGACCTGCATGCTCCTCCCCCTAAATATACAAACCACCATAAAGTACTGACATTCTTAAGTATCTTACATTTTCTTAAACCAGAGAACATCCTAGACATCACGTGTGTTTTAACAAATGTTAAAATGAATTTAAAGTTTTAATTTTATCAACATGAAATAATTGACTCTCACTATGTTTAAAAATTAAAAACACCTTTTACCTCATTAAAAGAATTAATAATCTTTAAGAAGCTATCAAGGACTTCTTACATTTAATTGAAGAGTAACTCACTTTGACATGGAGATGGGACAGAGAATTACAAAAGCTATTAAACATAAACTTACCTAGCGTTGGGATGAATTAGTTTTAACCCTCACACTTTTAACCCTCAAGGGCATTTCTGACAGTCTGAGGAGTAAGCCTGTCAACTGAGTCTCATCTGGCTTCTCTGAAAAAGTTCCTGGCTAATACTGGCCATTAGACCTCCTAGAAACCTCTGATGTAACTAACAGAAAATGCATTCAACCTTTAATTCCTTTAATTAGATCCACAGGGATCACCTGTGGTCTGAGTCTCTCCAAACACTGTGTGTTGCAGCATAATCCAAGAATATCCCCATGGCTGTTTCACACCCAAAATTTTATCTTTTTCTCAGGGGAAGGTAGTGAGGCAGGGCCTCACTCTAGCTCAGGCTAGCATGGGACTTACTGTGTGGCCAGGCTAGTCTTCTACTTCTTACTCCTGCCATAGGTTTCCAAGTGCCAGGATCACAAGCCTAAGCCACCATGCCTGGATTCCAAATTTTATCTTTTTTTTTTTGTAAACTTTTATGTTTTGGAGTGTTTGGACTACATGAATGTCTGTCCACCACATGCACATAGTGCCATCGCAGGCCAGAAGAAGGCATCAGATCCTCTGGGACTAGACTTTCATTGGTAGTGAGTGGCCATGTGGGAGCTGGGAATTGTACCTGTATCTTCTGCAAGAGTAGCTAGTGCTCTTAACTGTTGAGTCATCTTTCCAGACCCCCCCCCATCCCAAATTTTATCTTTTAAAGAGAAACTTCTTTACTACCTTTAGGAAATAATCAGCCTGAAGCTTTCCCACCATTGCATACTTACCCTAGAACTCTGATGTTTGTTTCAAAGACTGACACAACTACATCATTATCTAAATTGACATCTCTTAAAACTTTTCTCACTGCATCTTCAAATTCCTTAGTTTTGTTTAATACCTAGGAGAAGAAAAGCATGAGATTAAAGTTTTTTCTACCAAGTCAGGAAAAAAAAAAAAACTATACTCAACAATGAGATTAAAATCAATGTCAGCATACTTTAAGACTTAGAAAATAAGATACATACAAAATAATGTATCCCTTAGGTGTATTGTAACAATGTGATAATGTTTGAAACTGAAAAGCTAAGTGCAAACAATGAAGCATCTTTCCACACTGACATGCTTTCAGGGCTTTAAAAGACCTATCAAAGGAATTCAGGCTGGACTCAATGCAGGCTGAACATCTCTAAGCCCAAAATCTGAGTCCAAAGTGCATCAATCTAAAATTTTTAGGTTTTGAATATTTTGTTGGCAACACTCAAAATATCACAGATTTCAAGTATTTTAAGTATTCAAGTATTTTGGATTGTTGATAAATGTTTGCCCAGACTGTAAAGCTTATGACACAT